CAAGGGTTAAAAGCCGAAAAATTCCTTATGTAGATGAGGCACGTGGTTCTCTCGCCTCCTCCTGCAGAGGGCACTCTTTTTAGAGGCCTTTTTTAAACAGTTAAGCAGAGTCATCCATTGGAGACTCTGGCAGCAAAATTATTGTAATTTGTAAGTAATTGTAATTTGTATTATTGTAAGTAATTTTTTTTGTGTGTGTGTGTTTTACCCGCCTCTGCTGGCACTTTATTTTTTATTTTTTAAAGCCCTGCCGCTGTGTCCGCCATACAGCGGGATGTGTCCTGCTCTATGGCGGACACGGCGGCAGGGCTTTAAAGTCCTGGCGCCATGTCTGCCATACAGCGGGACGTGTCCCGCTCTATGGTGGACACAGCGCCAGGACTTTAAAGCCCTGCCACCGAACGCGTCATAGAGTGGGACGCGGCGGCAGGGCTTTAAAGCGGCGGACATGGCGACAGGGCTTTAAAGTCCCGGCACCATGTCTGCCATACAGCCGGTGAGATTAGAACCGCTGAACTGCAGATAACAGTCAGCTGAAATGGCCTGCAGTACTGCACCCTAACTACTGCGCCACCTTGGCTCTCTACAACAGTAGAATCTGTTCTGCCGTGCCTATCAGCTGGGCTTCAAACAAAGGGAATATAGGGCAGACAAGCGCAGGGGCGGGTGGGTGGGGCCAATTGATCACCAGAACTACCCCGTTTCCTGAAAATAAGACCTCCCTGGATAACTAGCCCAATCGAGCTTTTGAGCTCATGCACTAAAATAAGCCCTACCCTGAAAATAAGCCCTCACCGAAAATATTTAACTGCATATGCAGCCGGTCCCGGCCATTTCCTGCAGGGTAAAGGGGGGAACATGTCCCACATGCACCTGGAATCCACTCCCACAAACCCTAGCTACTGCACCCTTACTCTTAATGGCGGCCGCAAAAAGAGTGACAGGCCCAGGGATGCTAGGGGTGGCAAGAGTGTGCCAGAAACAGAGATAGAACTTCCTGCCCTCTCTGGGTCAGCTGATCCACGGGGCGAGGTTAAAAACCTCAGGCCGTGGACCTCTTGCACCTCAAAAATAATAAGACCTCCCCGAAAACAAGGCTAGGTGCTTATTTCGGGGGTCAAAAGAAAATAAGAGCCTGTCTTAATTTTAGGGAAACACGCTACCGGTTCACACAAACCAGTCCGAACCGTGTGGATACCTGACCTTGGTCCCTTGCTTTCTAAGTGGAACTCCTTTCTTGTTTTCCAGGTGCTCCTTTTCAAAGGTCTCAACATCCTCATGCTACCTCCTGCCGGCACTTCCACCTTGCCCCCCAGCCCCAGATCTCCGCAGACTTCCCCCTGTCTCATGCCGTCCAGCCTCACCTCACAGCCGCTCACCAGCACAACAGCCCACTTCACTCGTCGCTGCCAACTTTACCTACCCTGCCATTCCAGGATGTGACGGGACCTCCGTTCCTACCTCAAGCCCTTCACCAGCAATATCTCCTCCAGCAGCGGCTCCTCGAGGCTCAACACCGCAGGTTCATATCCCATCCCAGGTGAGGCCGCCTTGGGATCCTGGCTCAGCTGCCAGTACAGGTAGTCCTTGGCTTACAACAGTTCATTCCGTGACCGTTCAAAGTTACAACAAGAGTGATACAAGGGACCTATTGACCGTTTTTCATACTTTTGACCTTTGTAGCATCTCCATGGTCACGTGATCAAAAGTCAAACCTTTGGCAACTGGCATGTATTTATGACGGTCGCAGTGTCCCGGGGTCACCTGTTCCCCTTTTATGACCTTCTGACAAGCAGTCAATGGGAATCCCAGATTCAGTTAACAACCGTGTCACTAACTTAACAACTGTAGAGATTCACTTAATAACAGTGCCACTAACTTAACAACTGTAGAGATTCACTTAACAACCGTGACACTAACTTAACAACTGTAGTGATTCACTTAACAACCGTGTCACTAACTTAACAACTGTAGGGATTCACTTAACAACCGTGACACTAACTTAACAACTGTAGAGATTCACTTAACAACCATGTCACTAACTTAACAACTGTAGAGATTCACTTAATAACCATGTCACTAACTTAACAACTGTAGGGATTCACTTAACAACGATGTCACTAACTTAACAACTGTAGTGATTCACTTCACAATCGTGGCATGAAAAGTAATTAAAGGGGGCAAAATTCGCTTAACAAGTATCTCCCTTAGCAACAGAAGTTTTGGGCTCAATTGTGATTGTAAGTTGAGGACTATTTGTTCCAACCCTATTGGCTGAGAAAGATGGGTATCCAAAGGCACAGACGATGGACAAAGTGAGGTGGGAGTTAGGAGTGGTCCTTCTGTGGCTGAAAACCAAAGGTCAATTTGCAAGAGAGTTGGAAGTTGCTCCTGGTAGGTTGTGGATCCCTGCCATGATCGTGAAACAACCATTATGGCCACCATCTTGGAGATTTTGACAATGCCCTTAAGGCATCTTTGCCTCTCATCTGAAAAAAATAAAGAACAACATTGGACAAATCTATATGAGGACAGAAATTTAGTTGAAACTAACAAGAATTATGTACTTATGACTAATGATTGTGTCTATGATTTATGATCTATGACCTATCACTTTGTTTTTTGTGTGTACACTTATATATGGAGTCTTTGCACTGGAGACAAACTCCTTGTGTTTCCAATCATACTTGACCAATAAAGAATTTCTTTTCTATTCTATTCTATTCTATTCTATTCTATTCTATTCTATTCTATTCTATTCTATTCTATTCTATT